TTTAATATTTTCGTCTGTCTGTCTGTCTGTCTGTTTGTTTGTTTCGGTTAATCTCTGAAACGGCATGACCGATTGACGGGACTTTCGCTGGCAGATAGCTGATGTAATAAGAAGTAACTTAGACTAATTTTTTTGTAGAAAAAGAATCTGGGTTCCGCGCAAAAAAATTGAAACCCATAAAATTCTAAACAAAAATCGCGTACCCGACTAAGGACGCACACGAGCGAAGCGAAGGTTCGTCCTTATGTTGATTCCCCATACAATCTTTCATCCTCATTTTCACCCCCTTGAGGGATGGTTTTTGGGATAAAAAGTATCCTATAACCTTCCCAGGGTCTCAAACTATCATGTTACCAAACTTTACATATATTGGTTCAGTAGATCCGGAGACTATCCCCAACAACCTCACAAACTCACAAAGTTTACCTCTTTATAACATTATTAGTATTAGTATAGATAATTATCCACAAATTGCGATCTATCAACATTACATACAGTAAATTGCTACATTAATATGAATATTTTATAACCTAATTCAATAAAATACGGCAATGAACATAAGTTACGTTTCCACTTGGTTATTATTAATGTTTAATGAATTATTAAGTGAATTACAAATTAATTGATAAGATATACTTAAATTGTAAAACCTCGGAGCATATAAATCTAACTAGCGTTTTCTCGCGGATCCACCTGCGTCTTTGAATTTTATACAACTGCTTCGCTCTCATAGGTAGTGTGAGGTAAGATAGCCTTCTGTCGGAACAGTAGATTCAGGAATTAGCCCGTTCAAATAAACGAACAAAAAAAGCTTTTACTATAGTCAATATTTTTTTCATCATATTGTTTCATCATCATATATAATCGGCAAAGGTAGCCCAGTGGCAACGCGCTCGCTTGAGAAATCGAATGAAGTGGGTTCAAATCTCGTGTCTCGCACCTGTAATATTTTCATGTGCGAATCATTTCTAACATGATTACCATTTGTCTTACGGTGAGGAAAACATCGTGAGCAACTCCGCATGTCTGAGAGAACGTAGCAAGTTTTTGAAAGGTATGAGATGTCCGCCAACCAGCACTTGGCCAGCATGATGGCTTGATCGCCCCTCGTATTGAAGGGAGGCCCGTGTCCAGCAGTGCGACGTTAAAAAGGGCTGAATACATACGTTCTGCGATATAATATGTATACCTACATAATATGTAGGTGTTGTATATACAAACTATTTATCATTTGGCCCTAGTATATGACAACCTTACTTCAGAAATTCTACTACCATGTCTTTTGTTATTTATAAAAAAAATATTAAATAACTAGCATTGCCTGCGGCTCCGCCGGCGTTCAGATGACCAAAAACCAAATTCTTAGGTTTTACATATTAGTATCTTACATTACAGTTTTTGTATTTTTTCTCAGAAATGAGATATTTTCCCATGGTAAAAAGTATCCTATATGTTGACCCGGATAACCAGCTATCACCATACCAAATTTCAATCAAAATCCCTCCAGTGGTTTTTCTGTGATGCGATAACAGACAGACAGACAGATAGACAAAAATTCTAAAAACTATAGATTCGGCCTCTATATCGATAATAATGTCTATATCAATAAGATTTTCCAAAAAATATTTTATGTACAGATTCGGCTTAGTTACAATTTTATTATACGTATAAGATAGCACAATTATATAATTTAAAATATTTAATGTAATCTATATAATTAGACCTAGTTTCCTACATTTTTTGTTAGCAACACTGCTATTGAAAGAAATATTACATGACATTTTGATATAATAGTAAAAGGCCAGAGTTTTATGAAAGTTTCCAAAATATAAAATTCGCGTTTCATATATTGAGGCACTTTTTTCATCCTTGTTGTTGTGTGTCCCATTTTATTTTTAGAATTGGTGCAGCTATTAGTGAATCTCTTTGTATAGAGTTTGTCATATTTAAAAACGTTTCGCTGGCGGCTTACTTGCTTTTAGATAAGATTTAGATTTTCCGTAACATTCTCATGTAAAATATTTTCTTTCGTAGGTACCTACTGTAATACTCCAGCATAATAAAGCATGTAAAATTAATGTAAGAAATTTTTAATGATTATATTTAATGGCCAATTTTATTTTAAGTTTGCTTCAAATAATATAAAAGGATAATATTACCTACTTATAATTTTTTTTATTACAAAGAAATGGGAAATAATATAAGCGAATAGGCATATGCCTGATGTGATATGGAGATTTGAAGTTTTCCTTTATTTGAAGGACCAAAGATCTTTTGACATAATGGCTTAGACCCCTGAACGTATAACCACTCTTCAATATACACGTGAAATATTTCACAAACAGGTCAAGATCTATCTATCAAAATCCTTTCTTATCTTCCAGTTTCAAGATGGCGCTAAATTGACACATCCGGTGCCTTTGTCGCCCGCCGGAAGTGCACTTACAGCCTGATACCCACTTCGAATATGCTTCCGGTTGTCTTTTCGGCACTCTGCTGGAGTATTTTAAGACATTTTTAGACTTTCTAAAGAGTTACTTAAAAAATCTTTTATCTGAGAAAGATGTAAATTTCCTTGATGGAGGTAATATATATACATTCAGAAGAATGGTTTTTATATTGTTCACTTTAAAATACCTATAATTTCATAATTTAAGTTTTTTTTAAGTGGCTACATTTCTTATAATTTTTTTATTAATTTGCCATTATGGTCTAACTTTACCAGAGATAGACAAGAAATCTAAATAAATTATAATTAGAATAAATGGAATGCTAGTTTTACCTACACTAGCAAAATAGAACGATATCTAAATATAGGTAAAAGGAATAGAGTTCCAATTATATTTTAAATCAACTCACTATTTTTACTTCAATATAATAAGGGAATTTATGATAAAATTGGAAATACAATATTTATAACTTATTGTAGGAGAAAGATTTCTTCTTTATCTTACAATAAGTTTTTCTTACGTAGATATTTATAAACTTTAAATCATATAATAACTACTGTGTAGATTGTTATTTTCTTATATTAAATTTATAATAATGTCCTGTGTACAATTTCGGCCAATCTTACAAAAACTAGCGCTGTAGATGCACAAGTTAGGTGCAAGTAAAAACACAAACTCACTCTCAAAAGTCCGGTTGAACGACTGGTGAAAGATCAGGAGCAAAAACGACGACTTTCTGAAGCACAAGGGTGTTCAACTTCGGGATGCTACTAAAAATTTAAGAACAGAAAAACTCTAACTCTACTCGGCCTCACCTGGAACTCGAACTCGGGACCTCTGAATCTGCAAACGTACATACTAGCCACTAGAACACACAGGCACTTAAATTACGTGTCATTTTATTTTACATGTAAAGTTGTAACATTTTTCACATGCATTTTCGCAGTCCTAGTAAAATAAGACAAAAGGAGCGTCTTGTCCCTTGATTTATAGATGTCTTTGTATCGCGGCGCATATGGCGCGAAAACTGAAAAATTGCTGGACAGATAAACAATGATAACTTGGAGAAATGTTTATATAAGACCTTTTTCTTGGTCTTTGTGAATGCGCTTACATATTTGGTGAGATTTTTTATTATTATGTTTATGAATATATTTTTATGTGTTATATTTTTTACTTAATATTGTGTTATTTATTATTTTGTTTGTTAGAAAATATATTGCACAATTTTTCAAAGTATTAATTACAATAATTGCCTTGTTAAAATACGAATTAATATAATTAGTGTCGGTATTATTGTGATATAAGCGATTATAATTTAACCTCATGTTAGTAATACATATTGATATTTTTTTTATTTTATTTTCACATCACGTTTGACTCAGTTTGTAGTAACCCTACTTGCTGTGCCAGCGGTTGCGGGTTCGAGTCCCGCTGGAGGCATTCATTTGTATAAAGATCACGAATGTTTCTACTCCAGTCATAGGTGTTTATATTTATAATATGTATGTATTTAAACTTATATAAAATGTGTAGTGTATCAACTATCTGGTATCCATAACACAAGCCTCGTAGCTTACCATGGAACCAAAAAGTTGTTTGTTAATGTCCCAACGTATTTATTTATTCATTAAGTATAACATAGATATCAAAGGATTTATGGCACAGCTTAGTATTTTGAAATTCAACAATCGACTGTATCTCATCAAACGAATAAATAGTCTATTTTAGCCTAAACAAAATATCATTGTGTCACATTTGGCCTCATCTCTATAGAAACGCCAACAAATTCCCGTCATATATTCGAAAATTCGAAACATACACGCATGCTACATTTTTCAACGCCATGAGATATGCGAGAGACGCGATGAATGAATTCCTATTTGAAAAGGCACGTCGCGGAATCTCAACCACCTTATGAAATATTTTAAGCATTAAAATATTTATCCCCACTTGTTATATAATGAAGACATGAAAATTTACTCCCAGGTATTGTAGTTTTATACCTATTATCTATACATATAATAAAATTTTAACTGAGTCGAATCTGTATATTAGGTAAATATTTAAAAAAAATCTTTTTGATATAGTCATTATTATCGATGCAGAGACCGAATCTATAGTTTTTAGAATTTTCGTCTGTCTGTCTGTTTGGGAACGCATTACGAGTAAACCACTGGACAGATTTTGATGAAATTTGGTATGATAAAAGCTGGTTAGCACCTAGGGACATACCTCGAGTATATAATATAAATTATCCTATAACATGTGAAAGTAGTAAAATATAATTATACCTACTGTTGTCCATCATTTCAATCGCCAACATCACTTTTGTTAATGACTAATAACCGCGTCACTGATTGAAAATAATACAATGCCTCAACATCAATCGTTTGATAACGACCGCGATATCTCTACTGATATCAAACAGCAATTAGTATAACTGTGAATACTTGATAAAACTTAAAATAAAAGGTTGCAGCGAGCTTCTGCATTTACACTCTAGCTGCGATATCTAAGTTACCAACATATATATAAAAAAATAGTAAAATGAAATTGTACGTTTGTCTATCCATATTGATCGCGGCGATAGTGGTAGTTGAATGTTCTCATACTTTTGTGGGTACTAGTGTGTTTAGACAGCTAGTGTATCATAAGGATGCTAAATACAGTGCGAATTTAGTTAGAAAACGCGTTGAGAACATCACATATACATTGCCCCCTACGTATGGATATGGACGTTCTATCCAGGTAATTTTGTTTTGTTATAATAGAAATTTATATATATATATATATATAAAGATAGCTCACTTGTTAAACAGCTCTTTTAGCCTGTCTTTGCTTGAATTACTAGATACACCAATTGGGTCTCAGCTGATGTAAAGGATAATAGAGCAAAGAGAGGAGGTTAAAGGTTTGACTTTTGAGCCTCCAGTGCTAACAAAATTTACAAATTTTTTTTATTATTATATGAAAACATAAATATCTTACAAGTAACTTTATATTTATTAGAAACGGTCTTGGCTTCGCGTTTTCGTTCGTTTCGTTTTTGCAACGGAACAATTATTCAACAGAAACAGTGAATCCGGTCAAAAGTACTCGTATTATTTCCTTCATTTAATATAATAAAAGCATTATTAGTCATTAATACGTGTATCATATTTATTATGAATATTAAAATAAACCATTTACCATGCAAAAAATATAAAAAAAGTTTTGTTCCAGGGTATTCTAGCCTACGATTTGAGCAACTCTGGGGCATCAGCAAACATTACCGCTGGTGGTGTTGGCTACCCTTTCGTCACGATTCGTATGAAGAGCGACAGAGGACGTGGGATACATTATGACATTAATATATATGCTTAACCTCAAAAAAATCGATGTTATTTTAGAAAACTAAAATCTAAATAAATTTTATCAAGCAAGTTCAAATAGTAGTTGTATGATTTTGTTTTTTTTTTATATGTAATTTGTTAGGATTTTGATTTTAAAGTAAGCTACTGAAACATTTAAGTAATACACTGCTTTTGTGATCGCCGGAATGGCGATATCTTTTTGGCAGATGTTATTATTTAAATATTTTTAAATTAAAACGTAAGCAAATTTCCTTATCAAATTTCATGTTAATTTAAAATATTTCTATTTATTTATTTCTGAAGTTTTACTTCATTTTATCTATCGGTATTAAACTAGTTGTTATTTTGTTACATTTTTTTTGTTAAAATTCCAGTATTGGCATATTGTGGGTTCAGTAACAAATCGAGATTAAAACCTTTTGGCCACAATAAATTTATTTTAGAGAGAATAACACACCGTACTATCTAGAAATATTTAAAATTCGAGATACAACACTAGCGACTAATCCTCGGTCCGTTCGGGTTTGTCACTAGTTATGCTTTTAACGTTTAGTATAGATCTCTCAGAAATGACCAAAAATAACCACGTATCATCATACCAAATTTCATCAAAATCTGTCCAATGGTTTTCTCTTGATGCGATCACAGCAGACAGACAAAAAATCTAAAAACTATAGATTCGGCTTCTGTATCAAAAAAAACATCTATTTCAATAAGATTTTCCAAAAACTATTTAATGTACAGATTCGGTTTAGTTACAATTTTATTATATGTTTAGATTACTAACTATGCAAAAATACATAAAATACATTAAAAAAAAAATTAATCAATATCATTATAATTGTTATTGATTAATTAAAAATAACATTATGTAGGTATTTCTTCTATTTCTGTATATTTATCAATTTTTATTTTGAAAGATTTAAAAGGGGATTCGTCACTATACTGAAAATCCACTTGACGGGAATACATACAAAACAAATGAAAGCAACGCCAAATCGGTCACAATGCTAATGGATTAGAAAACTATATTCAAATTTTATGCATAAAATAACCAAAACAAAAATACTATGTACCTATATGTAGGGGCTCAAAATTCAAATGTCCGGGTATAACGTGATATCGCGAAGCCCCGCTTTGAAATCTCCGTATGCACTGTACAGTCACTAAACAAAAATATGTAAAAAAACTGACTTATCGCATGCAGTATGACATATAGACTGGGAAGGTTCAAAGATTTAAACCGTAGTGTAATTTTTAAAGGTTATTTTATAGTTTACCCGCTCTTGTTTTATTTCGGACTAGCGACTCACCCTCGCTTCGCTCGGGTTTGTCCCTAGCTTGCTTCCCAATATAAACTTTCATCCCCATTTTCACCCACTTAAAGGATAATTTCAGGGATAAAAAGTCCTATGTCCTTCCCAGGGTCTCAAAGTATCTTCATAACAAATTTCTTCTTAATCGGTTCAGTAGATCCAGAGATTACCCCCTACAACGTCACAAGCTCACAAACTTTACCTCTTTATAATATTAGTATAGATGAAATGATACATCTAGTGCTAAAAACTTTAAAATATTCTATTTTCATTTCACGGCAGCCTTTCTGGGGATAGAGAGTAGTGTATGGGACCTTATTTGGGCATAAAGAGTAGTTTATAAAGAAACAGATGAGACGGACAAAATATTTTACCACCTGTTAAGGATTTATATTATGTGTTATCGTGCATTGTTAAATTAAATTATTCATTATTTTATTGTTAAATTTTGTGTAAAGTGTGTCAGTGTAGTCTCTGGTAACAATCCCCCCCAACGTGCGTTCACCTTGTCGTGGTGGGGGGGCTCAGTAGTGTACTCGCGAAGCCAAGAAACGCACAGGGAGGTGGCCCGCTTCGGTGGGCGGTGGGAGGCGGCCTTCTTCGGAGGGCGGTGTGCCATGCGGGTTGCTCCTGGTACTTCTCTGATAGCAGAGTGGACCGTGGAGCAACCCTGTGGTTGTTGTGGTCTGCTTCGGCAGACCTGCCGTCGGGGCGTCGTGGTTGAATGCGTAAGCGATCCTGCGACGCCCCATTAAGACGGGGGAAGGTTTTGTTGGGTTTTAGTGGGTAGTACTGGCTTCGCCGGTGAGTCCCACACTTCGTGCGTCCCACATTTCCCAACGTTAAAAAAAAAAAAGTCTCTGGTAACAATAACGGTCGAGAGACTCAATAGTTGCTCTTTTAAAATAGCAGGCACATAAAAGATTTATTCTTTTTTTTAAGACGAAATCGCAATAAGTGAGAAATGAGAGCAATATATATTTATTCTGAAATCAAATACAGGTATTCGAATTTTATTTAGTTTTTGTAACAGCACGCAAAATAGGCGCATAGTCGTCGAGTTGCGGAAACCAGCCCGAACATACCATACCATACCAACAGCTGCTTCAAATTTCATTTCAGTTAATATCGGTAATAATGACTATTTCAATAAGATTTTCCAAAAAAATTATAAATAAAAAAATAGGTTTAGCCAGCGTTGGCTATGCGATCATACAAAAAAAAAAATTTTTGAAAAAAAAAAACACCGCCTAGAGTCAGCTATTTTGTACAAAATATTTACACAAACCTTTCTCGTTCATTGCTTTTACTATTAGTGAAAACCGTATCAAAATCCGTTGCGTGGTTAGAATAAGAAAGCGGAGAAACAGACAGACATAAGGTTTTTTGTATACTATGTACTCGTATATACACGAACTCAAGCAAAACTCTTGTAGGTGCAATATATTTAAATATTGCTTCTCAATGCGATAGATCCAATTTTGATATGTGAGAGTAGAAAGGAGCTGTAAAATAAACTATTAAAGAGACTTATGGACTATTCCGAGTTCGCTCGCGAAGCCATTTGGCACAGAATGTCACATTAAAAATCGACACTCAGAATAAATACGACACAGATAGTTATTGGCGCAATAAGAGAAAATACTTAATTTAAAAAATAAATATTATGTATATTATAAGGATATTAAATTGAGTTATAAAAAATGTGTTTGGTCATATTTTATAGGGTACTAGCTACTCACACTCGCTTTGCTCGGGTTCGTCCCTAGATTGATTCCCCATACAAACTTTCATCTCAATCTTTATTTCCCCTTAAGGGATGATTTGCGGTATTAAAACTATCCTATGTCCTTCCCAAGGTCTCAAACTATGTTCTTACCGAATTTCATCTAAATCGGTTCAGTAGATTCGGAGATTATCCCCTACAACGTCATATACTTACAATCTAACAAACTTTACCTCTTTATAATATTAGTATAGATGTAAGACGAATGCTTAAAAATTTTTTTGCCAAACTTACTGGAGGCACGAAACGGTGTAAAATTCATCAGATCTGCGGTCTGCCTCACATACAACTGAGTTTTTGCCGCAGGTACAAAATTAGAATAAAGTAACTAAAGGTTTTTTATCCACGGTCTCTGAGGTTCCACCGTTATTCAAAATATAGTTAAAAGCGTTTTGCTTGATATGGAAATTGAAAGGGTAAATTGAATGAGAACAATGTTCCCTATATATTCAGCCCTTTTTAACGTCCCACTGCTGGGCATGGGCCTCTCTTCAATACGATGGGCATTAGTCCACCACGCTGCCCAAGCGGGGTTGGCGGACTACACGTGTTTTTCGAAAACTTACTAAGTTCTCTCAGATATGCTGGTTTCCTCACGATGTTTTTCTTCACCGTAAGACAAGTGGTAATCATGTTGGAAATGATTTGCACATGAAAATATTAGAGGTGCGAGACCGGGGATTTGAACCCGTTTCACTCCGTTACCCAAGTAAGCGCGTTACCACTGGGCTACCACTGCCTATGCCTATGCCTGTTCCCTACACTATTTACATATCACGCGATTTTTAGAGCCATGATTGATATATAAATTAATATTTCAGCTTCATACGGGTACCTCTATATTAATAGACGTTGACTTATGTAAAGCTTACTAAAATTTTACTGTGTATTAAAATTTTATCGTTTATCTCTATTGTAATGAATAAAGCTAAAGAATTTAGTTTTTTTTTGTTTGTTTGAATGCAATATTTAGAACTGTCAGTTAAATTTAAAAAAAAAACCTTCTTGCACCTATTGATTGAGGAAGATTAACATCACAATATAAAAAACTACATGAGTCAAGCCGTGGACTGAAGTTACTTTATAATATTGTAATAAAATTGTAGTCTGCTTTATATCTGCTTATCTGTGTATTATTGCATGCATATCTCCAAAACGGCGATATTTATTTAAATGTGGTTTTTAGTGATGTATCGAGATAAGCTTACAGATACATACAGGAAAAATATAATTTCATCATCACAAGAACTTCACACTTCACAATATATAATTTAGCAATTTAGTTCAGAAAATTAGGTAATAAAGAAAAATTACGACAAATCACGCATTAATCATTACCTAAATATTATTTATTTTTATTTTTATTTTTTATTTTTTTGTTTGTCTTAATTGATCTATTTAAGTTTGTAGTATCACCCATAATATTATAATCAGCTAAAAGATAAAATTACTTTTTTATGAAAGGGCGGGGTCTCCTAATACAGGCAAATTATTTGCTTAAAAGGGGATCTCAACCACAAAATTTGAAATTTTGATTAGATTTGAAATAAATAAATAAATAAATAAATTTTAAATTAATCAATTAATTATATGTTAATTTTTTATTTCAAATGTAAATGTATATTGTTATCTAATTTATAGTTTTTATTGTTGTTGTGTTATAATAAATAAATTATTATTATTATTATTAGTAAATCCATTTTATTATATTTTTTATTTAATGAAGTAAAACCAAGGGTAAAAATTATTAGGATAGAACAACACTACAATGTAAACAAAACTCAAAATTCAATTCAAATTCTAAATTTGAAATAAAAAAGTACAATGTCTCTATGGATATGTGAATAATTGAGCATTTGTAACATTTACTGTTCGTGTGGGTCGCCACACCGCGTTCCAGTCTTC